AGAGCAGCGCCCTAAAGGCCCACCTTTCTCTCCCGCTTCGCTTAGATCGCTGTAGTGCCTTGGAAGTGGAGAAAAAGTTGCTCAAGACAGCTTTCCAGCCCGTGCCCAGGCGGTAAGCGACTCGGAGGGGGGTGCGGGGGGGGCAGGCAGGCCAAGGAAGAAAGAACTGGAGCCGAGGCGCTTTCGCACCTGGGGAAAGTGGCTGGGGTGCGCTTTTCTCAGGGCCCAAACACACTCTCCTCCGCGGTCCCCAAGGGCGCAGAGGCGCTCGGCAGGCTCAGCCCGGCTGCAGGCCCAGGGTGCGCGCTCGGGGAAGCCTGCGCCCGCAGGTCCCGGCCGCAGGGCCGCTCCGCGCCTCCTAAGCCCGGACCCCGGGTTCTGAAGCCTCGCTCGCGCCCGGCTTGGCTGGTAGTTGAACCCGGAGACCAGCACCTTCGGCTGGACATCATTTTGCTTTGAGAGGCCTTCTGCCCCGGGCCGCAGCGCCAGGCTGGACCTCGGCTGCATCGGGCGCCAGCGCCCATCAACTTTGTTACCCTGCCTCTCTCTTCCAGGCCCCAGAACCACCTGGACGCCGCTCTGGTCTTATCGGCTCTCTCCTCGTCCTAGTTCTTCTTTTCTTTGAAATTTTAATTGTTGTAATAATTGTACAAAAAAAATCGCTCTGTATAGTTATGACTCGTGAGCATGTCCGTGTATGAATCCCCAAAAAACAAAACTTAAACAAAAAAAAGAAAGAAAAAGAAAAGCGTCCCCCTCAACCCTCCCCAAGTCGCTTCTGTACCCCACATTAGCTGAGTTTGTGAGGTGTGTTCGTCCGTTTGATTTTGGGGGGTGGAGTTTCAGTGAGACTAAGCGCGTCTGACTTTTTTGTATATACAGAAAAAAAATGTACATATGTGTGAACCAAATTGTACAAGAAAGTATCTATTTTTGGCTAAATAAATGAGCTGTGGCCACTTTGACTATAACCCGCCAGTCTGACCTCCGCTTGGATCATTCCCCGTTTTTGTTTTGATTTTTGCTTCATTTTGTTTCCCACCTTATTCCTCCCCCACTCTGGAGCGCCCCGGAGGGCCCCAGGAATCAGCTGGCAGGCCTGGAGAGGAGAGGGGCGCAGTGGCAGTCTGGGTGAGGAAGTGCAGGGGCTGGGCTCCCCAGGAGAGGTGATTGGAAAAGAACTTGGAGTGCCCAAAAGAAGGGGTGTGGTGCGGGGACCGTGGGGAACTCGTACAGGCTCTGGCCCACTGGAGAGAGGAAGGCTGGGCGCTTCCTCTGGTGACAGAATGGGAAGACTTCTAGAAGTGCCCTGCTCAGGATGAGATTGGGGTCCCAGCCCCCATTCTTGGATGAGCCCAGTAGAGGGTTTCTCAGTCTTCTACAGGGGACTGTTGCAAACCCACCTTCAAGCCCCCTTCCCAATGCACCACACCGCAGACTTGGGGTGGTCTGAAAGGGATGTGAAGGAGCTGCAGGGAATCCGGGGGTGTACATTCTTTCCTTAGGGTGACTACCCAGCCTGAGTTGAGATTTGGGGGGCAGCTGGGTCCTGGGGGCCTCTGTGCGTCTTGACAGCCCAGTGGGCTCCCACGGTGCCCTGGGTGGGCAGTGCTCTCTGGCCTCAGAGGTGGGGGGGCAGGTCCGGCCCTGGCTGCGATGCAGAAGGGCTTGGGGATCCCTGCGAGACCGGGCAGCCGGGCTGGGGGAGGGAACCGGGAAATTTGGGGCTGGAGCTCCCTCTACAGGACAGAAGGGCTGCGAGGCGCCTGCTTCCGCAGCCTGGCAGGGCTGGCCTCTCTCTTTCAGGTGCCAGCCTTGGCCAAGTAGGACAAGTTAGGAAGTGGCAGACAGGCCTTGGGGGACGGCCGAAGGGGACAGTCCCGGTTCTGAACCCCGCCCTCCACGGCTCATCAGGGGCTGCGTGTTGGTAGTGGAGTCTGTGTCATGCTGGACATTCTGGGCCTTGGGAGCCCGCAGCACTAGGCCTGGCACCGCCTGGTACACCCTGGACGCTTGGTGGGAGTGGAGGAGAATCCCTGAAGGCACAGCTGCCAGCACAGTACCTCAGGGGAGCCCTGCTGCGACTGGGGTGCAGCGACACCTGAGAGACTTGTAGGAAGGAGGGGCAGCCCGCTGGTGTGTCAGACCCCAGCCCTGGGGCTCAGGGAGCCCCAGCGAGACAGAAGCTGACCTAGGCAAAGGCACCCCAGAGTTGGGGGATTGGTCCTCCAGGCTCTTCCTCAGAGACTCCACAAGCCCTCTCCACTCTGGCGGTGGCATTTCTGGGGTTCGGGCCCCCTCCCCGGTGTCGGTCACAGACTGTTGGCTCTGGCTGGCTGTTGGCAAAGGAGGCTTCAGCTGTCTGGGCCTTGAAACTCAGGCCAGGCTTCGGGGGGGGGGGGCAAGGCCCTGCAGTTAGCACTACAGTGTGTTACAGGGACACCCCCGCGGCGCCTCACAAGCTCCACCACTGCCCGTGAAACCCTGGCAGAGAGGGAGCTTCCCTGCCCCCATTTCCTCATCTGTGAAGTGGGCATGAAGAGGCAGCCTGATGGGTGGCGTAAGGTGAACAACAGAGCGTGTGTGTGAGAGCTGGACACAGATCGCCTTATCACTGTGGTCCGGAATCTCAACTTCCACT